ATGGAATGAACAATACAGTTAATGATTCTTTTATAGTGTCCCTTTTCATTGTTCATAAATGCAACATTGAAAATAAATTGATGGATGAATGGACAGACAAAAAAGGAGTATCTACAGTGAGGGAAAAAAGTACTTGATCCCCTGCTGATTTTGAACGTTTGCCCACTGAAAAAAAAAAAAGATCAGTCTATGATTTTAATGGTAGGTGTATTTTAACAGTGAGAAACAGAATTAAAAAAAAATCCAGAAAAATGCAAGTCAAAGAAGTTATAAATTGATTTGCATGTCAATGAGTAAAAAAAGTATTTGATCCCCTATCTATCAGCGAGATTTCTGTCTCCCAGGTCCCTCTTAAAGTGCTTCTAATCTCAGCTTGTAACCTATATAAGACACTTGCCCACAGAAACAATCAATCAGTCAAATTCCAAACTCCCACCATGACCAAGACCAAAGAGCTGTCCAAGGATGTCAGAGACAAGATTGGAGACCTATACAAGGCTGGAATGGGCTACAAGACCATCACCAAGCAGCTTGTTGAGAAGGTGACAACAGTTGGTGCGATTATTTGCAAATGGAAGAAACACAAAATAACTGTCAGTGTCCCTCGGTCTGGTGCTCCATGCAAGATCTCACCTCGTGGAGTATCAATGATCATGAGGAGAATAGTGAGGAATCAGCCCAGAACTGCATGAGAGGATCTTGTTAATGATCTCAAGGCAGCTGGGACCATAGTCACCAAGAAAACAATTGGTAACACACTACGTCGTGAAGGACTGAAATCCTGCAGTGCTCAAGAAAACACATGTACAGGCCCATCTGAAGTTTGCCAATGAACATCGAATGATTTAGAGGAGAACTGGGCAAAAGTGTTGTGGTCAGACGAGACCAAAATCAAGCTCTTTGGCATAAACTCAACTCGTCGTGTTTGGAGAAGGAGGAATGCTGCCTTTGACCCCAAGAACACCATCCCCACCATCAAACATGGAGGTGGAAACATTATGCTTCTGGACCCAGGTAAAGGTCCCCCATTTCTAATTTTGGTGGTGGTGAGGAATCTGTTGACGATGATATAACTCTTTTCCCTACCACTCCAGACAATAGTTTATATAATAGTCAACTATAATACAGAGAAATTATAAGAGGAGACTCTGGAGGAGAGAGGCCGCAGTTCACTATTTTCTGCAGTGACAGTGCACTCACCATTTTGTCCAAGTCCATGTCAATCTGCATTTAAATCGCCTCATTTAATGAAACAGTTAAAGCTTCATCTCCTATCATTGTCAGAAGTAGCTCACTCAGTGAGATTATTATTCACACTGGCACTTTCTTTGTCTTTAGCTGTCAACCAAGTGCTAGTGTAAAGATTGGTGTTGCGACAGTTATTACAAGGCCAAGGATTGAGGCTAATATATTGCACTGAAACCAATTTGGCATTACTTTGTAAGCCTCACAGAAATGTGAATTGCAAAGTGTAAATTGTGTGCAAGGAAGTGAGTAGCGGGAGACTGCCAGTACATCTGCAAAGACAGATACTACTGCACGGACATCTTCAGGTAATTTAAGCTATTTGCAGTGATATTTATACTTATATTGCTTTTGGTTTAAAATTCCTTTGAGGCACCTCTCCGAAACCGCTGTTGGCAAATCCGGTAGTGGTGCCCCTTGTAGACACACGTGTTAGCAATTCCGTCTTCATCCACCATATTTGCCTGGAAGGGTTTGCATTCCATTTGCGTTTCAGTTTCATTCAGAAAGGAAGTTCAAAAGTCCTGAAATCTTTATTCCTCGATTTATACAAAAGACATATATAAAAAAAAGTATAAGAAAATATAAATATGTGTATTAGAAATTTGGAAATGGGTATAAAAAAATGAAATAGAATAAATAGAAGTATGCTTAATGTACATTTACAATTAAAAGAGACAATATGTGATTGAAATAATCTGTATCAATCTAAAAACAATGTCACTAATATAAAAGAGAAGAAGGGACAATATAAAAGCAAGGTCCTTTTTGGGATAAAAAGGTGTGACAATTAAATTATAGAGCCTAAAAATTAAAAAATATAAAAATAAATTTTAAAAAAGCAAAAATATATAAATACGAAATTTAAAAGTATGAAAAAAATAAATGTGTGTATAAAATAAGGATCTGAAGGGAATGTGTGTATTGGAGGGAAGAAATAATAAAAAAAACATATATATGTTTTCACAAAAAATAAAATAAAAAAAAATCTATGTTTAGGCCCTCGGGCTGCATCATCTTCAATTTGTGAATCCAACATTTCTATATTTTCCGAAGTTTAATCATCATATCTTCAGTTTTTCATTCAAAGTGACCCTTTCGATCCCAGTGCATAAAAGTTTATTAAAATCAAAGTGTGGACAATAATTGCAATATAAGGGTACAGAATGAATAGTGACCTTTTTATTTATACTATTGCAATGCTGCAAAAACCTTACTTCCAATTGTCTACAAGTCTTAACTATACACTGTGCACCGCAACCACCGCTGACTAAACAAACCACATGGGTGGAAGTGCATGTGATGTAGTAAGTTATTTCAAAGCATTTTCCCATATGGTAACTTGCAAAAGAGAGTATCTTCCTTGGGAGACACCTACACCCCTTGCATGACCCGCAAGTGTAAAAACCTGAAAAATGACCTGACTCTTCCATGTTTTCTTATTTCTTTTCAAAACATACTGGGAGCTAAAATATTCTTAAGAATCTGACTCTTCTTAAATAATGTGATTTCCATGATAGCACCATGTTCACCCATTTCTTGAAATGGAATAGCCTAATATGTGTTGACCCAAGTTGGAAAGTAATGGTAGAGAAATCAAACCCAAAAATATAATTATATAATTTGGCTTGGACTGGTTCTAATTTTTATAAAATTTTTAAAACGTATAACACTATAGTAAATGAAATAATAAAAGTGTTGAAAACTTATAAGAACAAATTGGAAATGACAGATGCTTTCTTCCCCTCAACACCAATTGAGATACTTCAAGACCTGATTCAGGGCATTAATTTCTCCAAATAGAAGTATGGCAATATTGTAGTATTGTCACAAATTGTACCTTCAGGAAAATTTAAATAATTTCAGGAACTCCAAATTCAATTTGGACTACCTAATAAAGAATCCTTTAATTACGCTAGAATAAAACACCTGATTAAAGCACATGGTATAACGGAGCACTCAGAATTTGAACATTTTATAATTAAACATTCTACATTTAAACTTATTATAAAATCCACTCAAATAGTAAAACAACAGAGGACAGATTTGAAGAAATCATTATTGTTAGAACAATGGGGTGAGGTATTTAAAATAGTTAAAAAACCTACCAACAGTTTACATGAAACCTTTATTAAGATTATTTATAGATGGTGTCTTACACCGTACAAACTAAAAAAAATTAAACATAATTATTCTAATATTTGATGGAGATGTTCAAATGATATAGGCACACTGTACAACATGTGGGGGGGGGGAGGGTTGCGTGAGCTTAAATGTAATAAAAAGTACGATTTCTAATGTATGCATAGGTCTTGGAGTTTTGACACAATCAACTCATCAAATCTTTTTATTTCCTCTTAATTTTCCAAGTTGTAACATAGAAATTAAATATTTAATAATTCATATAATAATTGCAACAAAACTTACAATTGCCAGGAATTAGAAAATAGCTAAAGAACCAACATGGTCAGAAATAGTCTCCCAGATTAAATATCAACTACAAATGGAAGAAGGTTTCTACAAAAACGCTAGTTAAATTATTCTATCTAAAGAAATTTGGTCTGAATGGATGAACTTATCTCAGCACAATAACAATATACAGTATGCAGTATACACCAATAAAGCGATAGAACTTTGTCTGTAATTAAAAAGAAAATTCCCATTGTCCGACACCCAGTGCTCAGTTATAAGAAAAAAAGGTGAGAAGTGAGAAAATAAAAGAAGGAAAAGTCTTCAAAAGAAATATTGTAATCAATGTGTGAGTGAGTGAATGAGTGAGTGAGAGATGGTAGAAGTAGTCTTAAAATAATTTCAAACAAAATAGGCAAACCAATAAAAGCAACTAAACTTATTAAAGATTTATTAAAAATGGGTTTTCCAAATCTGTCTGAGTACACGCACCTTGAGTATGTACATTTTTTGTTTATTTATGTGTATGTATTTATACAAAATGTTGTACAGATATGTTAACCATTTTAAACGTTTATAAATGAAAAAAATTCAATAAAGGTAAATATAAAACAATGTCATCGTATCCCTTCTCTAAAAAAAGTTTTTTGAAATTCTTATTCTTAAATTACCGGTGCAATTTCTTTTAATTCTTGTGAACTGGCTTTGAGAAACACCCCAGAGCCAATAAAAATGCTGATTACTAATGATGTTGATAAAATTGGCATCGGTGGTTTAAAAAAAATTTTTGTCTTAATTTTAGAGTTTTCTCTAAAAAAAGTGTTAAAGCTAAAACATAGATTTTTTCCATATCAATTTGTGGATTAAAAAACAATATTGTGGGTGGAGCTTGCTACTGAATGAGAACAGAATCTTGTAGCTCCCGAGTAATCCTTCAATTTTGGGCAATTATTCCTAAAATTGCCAACCATCTAGGGGAGAGACATATTGCAAACACCCTAAGGGACCTCCCAGCTCGGACGGATGCTGTTTGTTCACACTCCGAAGCCGAGAAAAGTGAAACGCAGGCCTCCGGTCTACTACCAGCCTACTCTGGCTGAAATTGAAGCGCTCCTAGGCACCCCAACAGCAAACTTCCACTGCACAACGGATCCCACCCAATCTAAGCTACAGGGCGATACACCCACCATGGGGCACCGATCACAGAAACTGCCTGTGGGCCCCTCTTAAGAGACCAGAGATGCAAGATGGCGCATGCAGAAGGCCCAAAGGCCTCCGCCTCACCCAGCCTCGAGGTACTGGCGGATCCACATGTACAGCCCACAGTCCCAGGCAGGGCACTCACCATGCCAGCACCACAAGAAGGGCAGGAACTTGCCACCAAACAAGACATCAAGAAATTCCTGCTGGACATCAAGCAAATGCTGACAGCCGACATTGCTATGGTTAAGGAAGATGTCAAAGTGGTAATGGACAGTGTCCATGCCTCTAAAGAAGACATCTTGGAACTGCGCGGCAGCCTGTCTCACCTGCAGGATCCTCTCAGGAAAGGTGAATCCTCCCAGCACAACCTGAATGCACGCATGTCTGCAATGGAGGATCGGAGACACCACATCAAGGTAATGGGTGTACCTGACGGGGTTCCCCCTGAGGACTTGCCACACTACCTGAGGTGCTTACTATCCACTATTCTACCCCAACACTTAGCCAGGAAATTGACCATAGATGGGTCGTATAGACTGCCGCAGTCCCCGAACGCACCTCCTAATGTCACCAGCGACGTCATAGTCCGGTGCTCCTCTCTTCAAGACAAGAGACACATTGTGACCGCAGTCCACGATAAAACACCTTACCTGTTCAAGAATTCACACCTCACATTTTATCAAGACCTAACGATGCTGCAGTGGCGTAAATCTCTTAAACCAATCACTGGTCGATTGCAAGACTATGTCCTGACCTATCGATGGGGACCCCAAAGGACTCTGACTGTAACTCACCAAGGAACTATAAACAAGCTCAAGTCCATTGTGGATGCCCCGCAATTCCTGCAGGATCTGGGACTACCCGCTATGGATGGTGACAAGACACCCACGACTGCCCGGGCATGGGACCCTAATCACATGATCTCTTTCGTGCTAAGGGGCGCTCTGCTGACCCAAACGGGGACCTGGCTGTACAGAGCAACCATAATTATTGAAATCCATATAGCTTTGACTATACGGCCTTGTTTCCGTTTCTTGCAGGGCAAACACCTAGCTTGCATTGTATGTTTAATTGCAATATAAAATGGTGCATGTTACTCAAAACACATGTATTGTATTGCTAATATATCTTATGAAAATCACACATGTGAAAAGTTATGAACCTGTTTAACTGTCCGCATATGCACTGCAAACATATTTAAAGAAATTAAAAAAAAAAAACAACAAAAAAAAAACAATATTGTGTTTTTATTAAGATCAAGAATAAAATCGACCAAACCCTTTCAAACTATTAAAATATTGTCTATGGATTATTATTCCAAATATTTCTTTCTTTCCAATAATCGATAAAGATGTTAGCATAACTTGGCGCGAGCTTGGTATCTATGTCTTTACCTTTTAATTGAACAAAGAAAGAACTCCCTAATGAAGTAAAAAAAATCATGTGTTAAAATGACTGCTGTTGAGTCCATTAAAAACTAACCAAAAAAAGCAGTTATCTCTTTATCTCCTTCCAAAGAATATTTAACCGCCTAGAGACCTATATTGTGTTCTATTATAGTGTGTAAAGCTGTAACATCTAAGGTGGCCCATATATATTCCTTCCTCCAAATGATGCAGTCTAACTCTTGGATAAGATGTTTTGTATCCTTCAAGTAGGATCTTGCTTTTTGTGCATATATTTGTAGGAAGGAATTTATATATTCTGGTACTTGTGATGTAAGGGAATCTATACCACTAATAATAGGTTTCCCATTATTATTATTGATTGCTTTATGAATCCTAGGAAGGAAATATCAGGATTCTTATTTTATTTAGTAACAAAATCACGCCTGCTTTTCCAGCTGATCTCTGTAGGGGGAACTTCCTTTTCCATGATAGAAAGATAACATTTCAGCACTATCCTGTGCCTTTGTCAAGACTTGACAAAGGCACAGAATAGTGCCGAAACATTGTATTTTACTCCAAACTCCAAATAAAAGAGTATCTGTTAAAAAGAAAGCATTGGGTGTGCCCAGACGTATGTATTTGTTAAATTATTTTTTAATCCAGGTAGATAGTACACTATAGATGGTCCACTAGGCCAAGCAATATTGTAACCATGTTTGCATGTCAGCACAATCACTATTTTTCCTGCTTTTTTGGCTTTCCTGAATCTCGATTCTTCAAGTAACTAAATTCCTCCAATGCAATTATTTTTTCCTACAAATGTGCTCATTGCACTAGCCTCTGCTGTGGTGCTGAAAGGGTGTATTTGATTGACATAGTATGTCATATGGGAGCTTACACCTGTTCTCACAAGGCTTATCATTTATACAATGAAACAGGGATTTTAATGCTTGCAAAACCAGAAAGCTATCTAGAAAACTAAAGAAAATTGAAACCATCGGTTTCTATTAATTTAACAAGACCATTAAGTGAAAATAATTAAGTCGTAAGATTGTAATGTAGGCAATGAAATAATAGAGATATTAAACAGATTTGTAAGTGGCATGGTTCTATTAGTTTGTCTCTCTCTTTCTTTCTCTCCCTCTTGCACTCTCTCTCTCTCTACATATATAAAAGGATCTTACTCTTCTTTAGCACTCACGATGAGTACCTTCATTTATTAATGTATTCTATACTAATTACACAAGCTAATCAATAATATGCATTCAGTTCGATCACTGCTCTTCTTTATTATTTTGCTCTTTTTATATGGAATGTAATTGTAATTATACTTCTGTATTCTATAAATTGCCTTTCACTTACACACAATTTATTTAAGTGCTCCACACACAAAGGATGCTAATTACATTTTAGCACGTCTATTATGTGAGGATATTCCATTTTGTTTTATATCTGTACTGTAGGTATTTAAAATAACAGTATACATTAAATAAATGTAAATCTATGAAAAAAAGAAGACTCAATGCACCGAGATTTCTTATACCAGGTAATATTTGTGAGAGTCTCACTAAAGGCTTCCAGTTTCCCCCTGGAACAACTAAGGAAGGGGGAGCATGAAGGCAGGATCAGTTGAGGGCACCTGACTGTTTTCCTGGCTGACTGTCCTGTGTAATAAAAGAATAGCAATCTTTAGTTCTCCTTAGTGACCCCTTCCCTGGTACTATTTAATCTGCATATTTATGCTGCCCACTACCCCTGTCATGCTGCTCCGATTGCCCCAGAGGCAGACCCGCAGAAGCTCCTGCAGTCCTACCTGGAGGTGCACGGCCTGGGTGCCCTGGACGAGCTGGTGTCGGGTGTGAGGACCATTGGCCCAGCTGAGGGAGAGTTGACCGGTCGAACTGATGTTCCTGGCGGGCAGAGGGCCAGGAGATCGAGGCCTCCATTGCACCTATCCCCCAGCCCGGTGCGGCACAGCGAGCGGAGGTGAGGTTGCGGCCTGGCCCCGCACTCTGAGCGGCCATCTGCACCTGACAGATGGCGGAATTGGGCTGGTGAAGTTGGCGGTGCATAGGTCCAAGATGGTGGTGGCAGCAATGGAGGAGGTCCGGCCGGGAGATCGCGCAGCTCGCACGCTTCTCTTCCGGTCCATCTGGAAATGTCGTCTCTGAACTCCCCAGCCAGAGAGAGTATGACTGCTCAGCCAGCCGGGCCCTGACTGCCTCAGACCCTCGGTCCATGACCGATCTGCCCGAATGGTCAGTCCGCCCCTGAGCATCACAGCATTGCGCCAATAGTGCCAACCTAGGTAGACAGCCGCAAGGCGGACATGCTCATAATTTAACTAAATTTAAAAGTTTAACATTCCATGGCCCTTCCTCGCATGAACTGTATTAGCTGAATTCATTAAACAATTTAAGTAAAGTATTTTGTCCCCTGTGGGTTGCGTCTAAAGGGTTAAAGTAAGGCTAACGGTTAGTAACTTATACTGTGGATACTATTGCCGCACAGTGTTTGTACGGTTAAGCAGTGACCACCTTCTCTCCCCCGTTTTCCTCTCCCCTCTATATAGAAGGGAGTTGTTCCTTTGTGTGTGTTCGTCTGTCCATTTGGATGCCGGTCCTCTATCTGTCCACCTCGGGCTAAATCCGACCCTCCAGAGGAGCGTTCCGTGATGCCATGGGCACTCAGAGTCCAGTCCAGTTTGCCTGACCCACCACCAAGAGTCCATGCACCGTCTGTCTCCTGCACCTCCCCAGTATCACTCACGCTGCCATGAAGCACCGGGACTGACGTGTCTCACCCAGCACCAAGCCCATGCTTTTTGGATGTGCAATTCATGACTGTAGCAGGTCTTACAGATGCTCCCCTTGTGTAGGTTGACATCAACTGGAGCTGAGGAACATCTGAGGTGCGCATGTAAGTTGTGGGGCATATAGTGCCGCAAAGGCCCCGGTGCCCGGTCCCAGACTGGTCTCTCAGATCTGCTCAGGTCGCCCCCCGCAAGCATCACTGCACAGTGGGCACTCAGGGACAATCTGTGGTCTTGTGGCCTCCCCCCCAAGAGTCCTCGGACCCAGTGTCTCCTGCACATCCCCCAAGCCTCTGATACCACAGTGATTACCTTAGGTGCTCCAAATGCCTCTCCCAGCACTGGCCCCATTCTCAGAAAAGAGGATGCGTTGCCGCCCAGCCACTGGTCCGCCGGAGGCAAGTAGCCCTCAGTCCTGCCGAGCTCACAGCAATGGGTGCAATTCCCTCCAAGCCTCCTCCATACCCGGAAGTTGAGTGACAATACTGTCAACCTGAGGACAGTCCGGGTTTTCTGATCACGGCCCAGGTCATCCAGGTTGTGCAAATATGGGTCCAGGTGCACCACTATGCGAGGGGTAGTGTCCCTGTGTTCTGGCAGGCCTCATCTTGACGTCCTTTGCCAGTGCAGGGGATAAGCATGGTCCCCGAGCAGAGACATCCGCCTCGGCTTGTGCCGTCCCCATGGGCCGGGATCACCCCCACCGGCCGGGGGGGGGGGGGGGCGGGGCCTTTCCCCGAGCCAGCGGGGTCCTTCATGGGGATAGATGTCTCCGAAGTGTGTTTCCCATCCAAGTGGGCTTCCGGCAGCTGAGTCATACGCTAACGCCGTCTGTGATCAGGCTGTGATTGGCCCTTTGCAGGCGTCATTTTGAAGCTGGGGTGATTCTCCACCTCAGCATACTCGAATATCCGACTTTGGGGTGATTTATATGAAGTTTTAAAGCCATTGTTTGCGGCTCGGGCTCAGAGCCATGCTTGTCTGAGTCTGTAATAGCATGTGATACAATTAATAAATTATTTTTCTACTACAATATTGTATGATGTATTAAAACTTCTTAAATGAAAACTATAGTGTTGGGAATACAAAACGGTATTCCAAACACTACAGTTTTGTATTCCTAACGCTATAGTTTTCATTTAAGAAGCTTCAATACATCGTACAATATTGTAGTAGAAAAATAATTTATTAATTGTATCACCTGCTATTACAATTCCCTCCCAAAGACAGGAAGTCTTTAGTGAGACAAAGGAGCTTAAAGTGTTGGAGAAACCAACAATATAAGCAAGGACTGGATAAAATATAATATTAATTAGAATGAATAATAATACATCATATATATTCCAAGTCTCTAACTAAGTTATAGAGTACTACCCAAACCAAAATTGTGTAACCAGCCAAAAAAAGGGCTGACCCCTGACGAAGGTGCATGTTTTAAGCACCGAAACGCGCGTCGGGTTTTTCCGCTTTCTCTTTCCTTTCACTGTCACATTTGGGCACTGTCACTCTAACTATGTGCAGGTAGCCAACACTCTAAGTATGGCTCTGCACATTAGTATTTTACTTCTTTTTTAAACCTTCCTTTTAGTCCTGATTTCTTAACCTCATTTATATTTCATCAAAGAGATACAGCATAGCAGTCAGCAGCTACGTGTTTATGACTAGCATCCTCTCTTTAATGTTTAACTACATTAGCTCATGAGATACATTTGTATCATAGAGTTTGTTTTGACATTATTTGATACTATCTGTAGATACAAGGTATCTTACATTATCTATTTTCATTTACTCTATCTCTGAGCACAGCTATTCTTTATTATATTATTGGGGTTAAATAGATAGTATTTGATTTATGATTTATGCTCAATTTTTCTATGTATATCTATCTAATATCAGGACTTATCTATTTGTGACTGAATTCACAATATTGGGAAATGTCAAATTTCAGTCACAGTGTGCTATGAAGGAGGTATAGCCCTTTTTTTGTCTGGTTACACAATTTTGGTTTGGGTAGTACTCAATAACTTAGTTAGAGACTTGGAATATATATGATGTATTATTATTCATTCTAATTAATATTATATTTTATCCAGTCCTTGCTTATATTGTTGGTTTCTCCAACACTTTAAGCTCCTTTGACTTATAAAAATATAGGGGTTAAGCCCCAGGACACAACTGGAGTGCCCACACAGGTTTATGTTGTGTGTTCCATAGTAAGTCTTTCCTCTTAGGATTGAATTCTTGCTAGGAAAGTTCACAATTTTATTTTTGTTAGTCTTTAGTGAGACTCTCACAAGTATTATCTTGTATAAGAAATATTGAGTCTTCTTTTTTTCGTAGAGTTACATTTATGTAATGTATACTGTTATTTTAAATACCTACAGTACAGATATAAAACAAAATGGAATGTCCTCACATAATTCCCTCCCAAAAGACAGGAAGGATGGTGATCAAACTCATGGGAGGCCTTGCTTGGGTGGTTTAGATATTTGTGGATCTCCAATACTATATTTACATTTATTAGAAGTGGAGCGGTGTGGCAAAACCGACCTCACCACTGGGCATTGAAGAAGACTGATTGCCAGCCTCCTGCCATGTGACTATGGCCCCTGGGATGTATTGCCCTTTAAAGACATGATTTGGGCATAATGGATTTGTGTTGTGCTGCTGTTGGCCCTTTAAGAACCATCTGGGGACATACTGTGGAGTTACTGGGTGGCCACCATTTCCTGGGGACACATTATACTGTAATTGTTTTTCATTTAGCCTGCATATGTTCTGTGGAATCTGCATTAAACTGTATCTTCCAAAGTACTGAACGGATCTGGGTGAATTTTGGATATGTGGTTCACCCAGATCCACTGGTTCCAATGATATACTTTATGGGGTTATTGCATGTTTTGGGGTCCCTGTGATGTGTTTTATGATACTGTATTTCTCTGTCTGTGATAATTAGATTACCCATTGAGTAAGGTAATTGTATCACAGGCAGAGGGGAGGATTTTGTGTGGGAGTGTCTGAGTGTATTGTACGTGTTATTGGTTGTTCTGTAAAACCCTGTGGGCAGTACTAAGTTTGTGGATTGGGAATAAAAGTGGCTATATGTGCCAGTCCAGTCAGTTCCTGCTTAACCCTCAAAGTGAAGTGTCGTCTCATTACTGGGGGAGGATTTATTGTATGCTGTTCCAGTTTGACTGCTAGGAGTGTAAACCTATTTGCATGTTTTTTCCTATTCTGCTGTATACAACATTCATATGCTTGAGAGCATTCATATGCTTCTCTGATTCGGTGGTTGTGGTGTCTGCTGCAGTGCTTGGAGTCCTCATGAAGCGCTAGGAGCATCCTTCAACGGAGGTACCCAGTCGGGGTGCCAGGTGATCTGTTACAAGCGGTAAAAATCTACTAATGGAAGGCCATTATGACACTATAGATAACGTGGCATCTGCTTGCAATACATAGCAGTGTTCATTTTGACTGCAAATTACAATTTAAATTTAGTCATATTCTTTTGACTAAAAAGTCATTTTAGTTTTAGTCGAATTTTAGTCATCTGAATTGTTTTAGTCTAGTTGTAGTCAACACGACTAAAATCAAATGGATTTAGTTAAAGTCTCTATCTGTCTCTTTTACATAGTTACATAGTTATATAGCTGAAAAGAGACTTGCGTCCATAAAGTTCAGGCTTCCTCACATTTGTTTTTGCTGTTGGTCCAAAAGAAGGCAGAAAACCTAGTCTGAAGAGCTTTCAATTTTGCAACAAACTAGGAAAAAATTCCTTCTTGACCCCAAAATAGCAGTCATATGTCTCATTGAATCAAACAGCTATTACCCCACTAATTAGAAATTGTTATGTTTTTGCAAGTATGTATCCAATTGCAGTTTAAACATGTATGGACTCTGATAAAACCACCTCTGCAGGCAGAGAATTCTGAAAAAAAAAAAACTTTTCTTTGCCATAGATGAAATCTCCTTTCTTCCACCCTAAATGTGTGACCTTGTGTCCTATGTATAGCCCTGTTTATTAATAGATTTCCAGATAATGATTTGAACTGGCCCCGAATATATTTGTATAATGTTATCATGTCCCCTCTGAGGAGCCATTTTTCCAAACTAAAGAGATTTAAATTTTTTAACCTTTCTTCGTAACTAAAATGCTCCATTTCTTTTATCAATTTTGT